TCTCCAAGAGGTGCCTGTCCAAGAGGTGCCTGCAAAAACTCTTCAAAAATCATCCAAATACATTGAACCTTATAGAAACGAGGTCTGAACCGCCTTTGGCGCCGTCGGCGCTAGTTTAGCGCTGAGTAAAAAATCTTCGCGTTAATTTGTTCTACGCCATCGGCGCTACCGGCGCTGAGCATTTCTTCAAAAACGTCATTTTGACTCCAAATTTTATCCTTTTTGCTTTCTTTTTGCTTTAAGCCCTAAAAATCAACAACCTGCAAGAAAACATCAAAATATCTTCAATTAAAGTGCAATATCATAAAAAATAGGTATAAAATATGGGTTTAAAAATGCATATATTTTTGATGTATCAATGACTACAATAGTGGCAGTTCGCCATATAGGTTGTAGTTGGAGATTGCAACATCATCAATTAGACACATAGGTTGTAGTTTGTGAATATAATATCGTCAATTGAGCACATAAGCCATAGTTGATAGTTGCAATATTGTCAGTTGACCGCAAAAGTTGCAATTAGTGAATATAATATCATTAACTTTCCACAAAAGTTGTAGTTGATGAATGAAATAACGTTAGTTGACCACAAAGGTTATGATTGGAAACTATAATATTAACAATTGGTTATATGAGTTGCAAAAGGAGACTATAATATTATTAGTTAGCCACATATGTTGTAATTGGTGACTGCAATAACATCATCTGGCCACAAAGGTCGTAGTTGGATACTATCGTATAATCAGTTGGTCATATAATTCACAATTTGTGATTGTAATAATGTCAGTTGGCCACAATTGTCATAGTGGGTGTTTGTAATGCCATCAATTGACCACATATGACATAGTTGGAGACTATAATAACAATTTTTTACCACATAGGCCGTAGTTGGCAACTGAAATAATGTCAGTTAACCACATAGGTCAGAGTTGGTAACTTCAATAATGGCAGTTGGCCACAGAGGCCCTAGTTGGTGACTCGAGTAGCATCAGTTGACCATAGTGGTCATTGTTGGTGACTGCAATAATGTCAGTTAGCCATAAATGTCATAATTAGTGATTGTAATAATGTCATTTGGCCATAGAGGTCGTAATTGATGATTATAATTATGTCAATTTTACATAGATGTTGTGTTTGAAAACTATAGTAGTAATTGACCACATACGTCATAGTTAGGGTTATAATAGCGACAGTAGGCCATAGAGGTCGTAGTTGGAATCCACAATAATAGTTGGTCATTGGTCATAGTTGGGGGCTGCAATAGCGTCAATTAGCTATATATATCATAGTTGGTGACTGATATAGTGTTATTTGGTCATAGATGTCACAGTGGGAAGCTCTAGTAGCGGACACAAGGGTCATAGTTGGTGTTACATCGGTTGGTGGCTGCAACCAATCTTTTGGGTTTACTATTTTACACCATAGAAAACACTTGTGGTATATGACCTAAGAGATAAATACATGCGTTATAAACAATCTTCGTATTTTGGCTACAACAGTTGTAAGTAGTGGTCATCAGTGGTTGGTGGCCAATTGTTACAGGTGGTGACAGGCGATAGTTGGTATTAATAGGTGGCGACAATCGATGGTGGTCGACAGTAGTCGTTGGCTATGAAGGCAAAAAAATTATCGTAATGACTTCAATACAATATAATACATTATAATTATATTTGGGATACGATGTTAACAAGCAGGTGTCGCCAATGACGACAAGCAGGGGTCCACCAATAGTGGTCGATTGAGGCCGACGAGTGGTGTTTGACAATGTTCAATGGCCACAAAGACCGAAAGTTATCATATGGTCTTCAGTCTAGAACAATAATGAAATTAGATATCATTGAATCTTTAATATGACATTAGATGTTATGACCATATTTCAAATACCAAGTTACAAGCAAAGGTGGCCAACGATGACGAGCTAGGGCAGTCAACGAGTGGTGGTCAACAACTATGAAAGCCAGAAGATATCATTGAGTTTTTATCTAGAACAACACTGTAATTATATATCATCAGTCAATATGTCATTATATATTACAATTGTATTACAAATATGACATTATAAACAGGGGTAGTCGATAGAGGCGAGTAATGACGACAAACGAGCAACAATTAATGATGGTTGGTGGTTATGAAGGTTAAATGTTTTCATTGGGTCTCCGGTTCATAAGAACATTAAAACTCTACGCCTTCTTCCCCTCCCCTCAAGTGAAGGGAGGACAGCTGTTTATAGGCTTTGAGTATGTGGATTTTCTTTTGTTTTTTTTTATATTTTTTATTTTTTTGTGAATAATTTTCCCAACCACCTGATCAGACAACCCATATTGATCCCCCTTTAATCGTAACCGATTTTTTTAATGATTTGAGAGTCTTAATGATCTCATAATTAAGCGAGCTTAGACTCATTAGATTCCTCTCGTCGAGATGTTTAGTTTGATAACAAGTCCTTCAAATTTAGAGTTCATTTGATGATTCATTTAATGATCTAAAACATCTAAATGTGCTTTAATGACTTAATATAAACTTGATCGGACTCGACTTGAACCAGTTTTAGTATCATCGAGCTCTTCTTGTCGACACAGTTAGTTTGACTATAAATCCGTTGAAAAAGGGGTATTCAATGATCTTCAATTTGAATATGAAATGTTTCTTACTAAAAAAATATCTCAAAATTCATGTCATATGATATAAATATCTTTATGATGCATTATATAAAAATATTTAGTGATAATCATATATGAAGCACCTAAAATATTGATATTTACAAACCAAGCATCCAAGTGATTTCTTGAACTATCAAACTGTTATATTTACGCGTGTTACGGTCTAACCAATGAGATTTGATAAAAGTGAAAATACGAGGTAGGAATTTATCTTGAATTCTGATATTTTAGTTAGTTTTTAAAATATGGACGAAAGACTGCTTGATTTGTAACTGGTAATGATTCTGATGCTCTGTGTGTACTGCACCAAATATTATCATTGTATGATACTAATTAAAATTCTCATTTTTTTTTCATTTTAATTTTTTATTAGACAATAAATAACAAATAAATAAAATCTGTGATCCGTATTTGTCCATAGTTTTAAAGAAACTCTCACCGCCAATCATGCTTGGGAATCGCTCTTCTCCAACGATCGCGTTCTCGTTTGGATTAATTTTCGGAAGAGGGTAGTGGGGGTAAGGTTACATGAAATGACGGGACTCGACAGAGAGGCGCTATATATATATCAAAAGGAGGCCATCTTTCTTCTGAAAGCACGTTGGTAAACCTAGAACCCTTCTGATCCCTTCTGTTGCTCGAAACACATTGGTAAACCTAGAACCCTTCCGTTCCCTTTGCCTCATTTAATCGTTTTCTCGTATGCAAACTTGCATTGTTGGTCTTCTGTTTGAATTTAGGGTTAGGGTTTAGCGGTGAGCATGGCGGCTGACAAGGGGAAGAGGTCGAAAATCGCCGAGCAGGAAGGTGAAGAGTCCGCAGATCATATCGACGGAGAACTGGTGCTTTCTATAGAGAAATTGCAGGAGGTGCAGGATGAGCTCGAAAAGGTTAGTACAACCTTTTGAATTTTGTATTCCTTGTTCTTCGAGTAGAGGTTTTCTTTTCAAGATCGGCGCTTTGTCTTTTTATGGTGGTTTTGATATTTAGCTATCAATTTCAATGTGCAATCTTGCTATTTTAGTTTTTTTCCGTGTGAAAGTTGTTTTTAAAGATAATAAAAGAATAGAAGTTGATTAATGGAAATTTTGATTAAGGTGGATTTATAAAACTCCTCCATGCATTTAGAAAAAATGGATGCATACTCCGATTAATAAAACATGCTTCGAATGATTATCTTCTCATTCAATAATGTAGGTGTTATTATCCTTTTGACTTCAGCTATAATTAAATCTGCTTTTTCATATTTTCACTAGCATTCTGCTTTGCGGAATAATCTATTTTGAAATTGTATAAGACGTCCTTATTTGGCATTTCTCCCAATGCAAGGTATGTTCTTCATAAGAAAGGTAAATAATTGGAGATAAAATTTTTAAGCAGTTGAAACTAGGTGTGGTCAGCACCTGCATAGCGAAGCTCATTGGATAGGATTTCTGTTCTGTAGTCGACAACATTTTAACATTTTCACATTTGAAGTTAAATTGTTTCATTCCAAAAACTTTTCTAACCAATTGCTATCCTCAATACCTTTTTCCATTTTAGATGAATTCATTAATCTGATTTTAAATGTAAAATGGGTGTTTGCCTCTCCATTGCCTACCCAGAAAATATTGTTCTGGTTAGTGTTAAGACACATGAGAGTTTTGTGTTACGTACCATATTAGAGAAGCGCAAAATATGTTGGTGCATAACTATGTTGGTGCATAACTATAATGAGTTTGGCCTTCATCAATGTGCCTGAGATTTTCAGTGGAAAATGAGTTTAATTATTGGCATATTGAGTACCCCCCCCACCCCCCCC